TTACTTCTACAGGCCAGCTCAATGCTACACATCTTATTTTTCAGATGAGTTTTTTTAAATGTAAGCTTTTTCTGAGTTAGAACAGTTCTATTGCACTTTAGGCACATTAACTTTGACCAAATTCTTACCAAGTTATTTGCTATCTTAATACTTGCCAGAAACAAAGTTATTCTCTTCCTCTCCATATGCTTGTAGTAGTGTTTCTGCTTGAAGCCTCACTTGTAGTTTATGAGCTTCTGGATGGCTGTCACTTAATGGTAGCAGCTAGCAAGCTGCTGGAGAAATATAAATTAAATTCACAGAGTAGAGCTAGAAGATTTTTTCAAGATACATATACTGAGAATTTTTCTGCTGATATAGCTAGTCAGAACAGCAGCCTCTAGCTCCCCATAATACAGGGCCTGAAGTGGAGATTGCTCTACTGTCGGGGATAGAGTTCAGCACAGCTGTGAATGGGATAGAGGTATTTAATCTTGAGCTTCCTTGCAGTACCTTCTTGCGGGCAGTAATAGATGATAAAACTTGACCGTGGATGGCATATCAGGGACTTTGATCATTCTGCACTCAACCTTTGAGCAGGCCCTTCTGATTTTCCTCATTTTGAAAGTTCAAAGGCACTTCCAAAGTTAGTCTGGCTTTTCATGCTGCTCCTTGAGATTCTAGTCTTCTCTGAATACTATGTAGTTTTCACTGATGCTTGCATAGCATTTCTAGTATGAGGCATCTCCTCTGAATGTCCTTCTTTTAAGTCTCTTACCTCTCCATATCCATTGTGATTGGAGCAAGATAGGATTCTTTTCTTTTACACATCGAAGTCTTCATATCTCCCCTCAGTCTTCTCTGTAGACTGAAGAACGTGAATTTTTTGAGTCTTTTCTCAGAGATTATTCATTCCAGATCTTATTATTCTCTTCTGGACTGTCTTCAGTCCTCCCTGTTTTCCAGACCATTTCTCCAGTCTGTCAAGATGAGTTTGGATTATAACCCTTCTTTCCAGTATGTTTATAGCCTTTCCCAGTTTAGTGTCAATTGCACATTTGATAAACCTACTTTGTTCCATCAAGATCACTAATGAGATTAGTGAATAGTACTAAACTCTGCCTAACCCAGATGCATCTTTCATTTTGACAGTGAACACATGAAAAATTCGGGCTAGAGCATTCAGTTCTCCCAGTCTAAGGTACCTGGGTCATATATTCCTAGTATGGCCCCATCACAGGAAGGGCAGCATTTGATTTGAGAACCATCTTGGATTTATAGTATCAGTTCATGCTTTAAAAACTGAGAAGAGGCAAACTGAAATTGAAAGGCAGAAAAAGAGGCTTTTCTTTGCAATCTGAATGCAGACAACAGTTAAAATGATGACTGCTTGAAGTGCGAAGCGTGAAGACTGCTATACAACTGAGAATACAACTAGCCAGAGTTCTCCAAGCTTGAATACCTCAGAAATGGAATATCTCTACAAGCAACCCCTCCAAAGAATGAGGGAAGACTGAAAATTTGACAAAATAATCCCAGCCTTTTCCAGGTTCCAAACCAGCCTGGAAAACAGAGGTGCCAAGAGAGGCTGTGAGACTAAAATCAGGCTGGAAGGAAGGGAAAGAAGAGTTTGCGAATAGGGGAGAAAAGCAGAAAATGGAAGGTAAACCCAGCATCAGACTCCAATCTTACACCTCTGCAATCAGTGGGATTTTGTGGGAGAAGGAGCATACCTGTGGCTAAAGATGTCCCTTCCTCCCCCATGAGCTGTGATGGGCACATCCAGCTGAGTACAAGTTTTAATAGCAGCTGGGCTCATAATTTCTTTGGAAGGGGGGCTTGGCTCCCACCCTGCATACTGAAGGCTCTCCATTAAAAAAGGCAAATAAGATCATTTGGTTCAATATAAAATGAATTAAAGTAAATTAAACTGCAGGAGCCATGTGGCCTGCAGAGGCCTCCATTGTTGTACACACATAAATGGCAGCTTTTCATTTTCACTGCTAAGGAATGACAGCTTGAGGGGGGTGGAATTAAAAATAAGGAAATAAATAATAAAAAGACACAGTTGCCAAAGATTTCGTTTAGGAAATCCCAGGTGCCTGCAAGTCTCCCATCCCCTCCTCATGCTGTTGTCAGCAATCTAAGCTAATATCCTGGAGAACAGAGTGAAGCATGGGGGGCAGGGGGAAGAAAGAAAACCAAACCAAAAGAACCGTAAGAAACTGGTATCCCAGGTTTTTCCCTATAAGGGAGAAAGATACCAAGGACACACTTTCTTCCAACAGTCTTAATGGCCGGTATATAAGAAAGGCCCTAAGTAAGAATTTTCTTTGCATGCTCAATACAGATGTGCAGCCAGGTTACAGGGGGATGCATTTCCAGGTGATTGAAAATTCAGAAGCAAAACACTAACATTTATTTGTTCAAAACATAGCATGAAATTACTATTGAATAAATACTTGTCAGTTTTGTTTGAAAGCTGGACCTAGACATTGCAAATGATTTTTTTTTTTTTTGTGGCAAAAGTGGCATTACTCATGTCAAGTTTTTTCTTCATGCTGTTCAAATGGTGTCAGGGACAAATGTACAAATACTAGTCCACACTAGCACTGTGGACTCCTCACTGCATCTTTGAAAATATTTGCTTGGTGGCTTTTTGGTTGGTTGGGTTTTTTGGTGCTTTTTTTTTTTTTTAAGTACCATCTCATCAAATCTGATTGGAGGAGATGTGGCCTGTATGTGGCAGCCATTCTTTACACAGTTTTGCACTTGGACTTTGGACCAGATACCTTTTTCAGGTGCATACCATGTTTCCTAGCATAGATGGTTACAGTAAACAGTTATAGATACCATAGATGGTTACAGTAAAAAAATGTGCCATGTAAACTGGCACATTAAGCTTTCCATATTCCTTCTGAGGCTGCACCTTGGACATGAAAGAGATACCAGAATGTCTTTTGCACAAAGTAGTATTATTTGGATCATTCAGCTGAAGCAAACTATCGTAAAGCAATGTATTACAGTGTCAGCGGATCTGTGATAACTGTTTTTTCTGAGAGCCTGAAGCTAGTAAGAGTTGATTTTGAGTAGCTGTAGTGCTCTTCATGTTCTAATGGAGCACAAGCATGTCCACAGTTGCTTTGGTTATCATGTCACCACCTGTTTCTGTCTCTGTGCACAGCCATGTATAATTAAACAGTTATTGTAAGGAAAATGAGTGCTTACCTTATAATGATTAGAATCGTTCCTCAGTCTGTCTCCATCTTGTGTCAGAGCTCAACTCCATGGGATACCACGGTCCAAAGTCCTGGTGCCCAGCCTTTCTCACTGGGCAGACCGACCCTTCCTCCATCACATGATTAGTTGCATGTGCAGAAGTTTTATGCTCTTTGAGCAACAAGCTCTTCTTGCACTAGGCGTGCATGTAGAACAACCCATGACATAGAACAAAGTCCATCGTTCTGCATGAGGGGAAAGAAGGCAAGCTGGAGCAGTTTGCTGCTGCCAGAGCACTTTCTCTAGGCCACAGCCTCTTCCAGAAGGCTCATTAGGAGAGAAGGTGCCAGAGGGAA